GGAAAAATTAATTAACAAACGGAGACGTAACAGTATATATTTATACTATTAAGAAATATAAGTAAAAGTCATTTATTTCGACATTTGGCAAAAAAAGAAGAATTTATATATATATATATAATATTTCTTTAAAATCTGACATTTATCAAAACCAAAAGTGGAAAGAAAAAAAAACAGCAAAAATGGACACATAGTGAACTGACACTGAAAGATACCATGGAATGAAATTTCGACGTGGGATGGTGTCACTGGTATGTTGCGAAATCCTATCCCCCGGATGTGATTTGGACGGGGGATGATATTTCTCAGCACACCAGTGACACCGCTGGTCTGGTTGCAACTATTTATACGTCTATCAATTATGCCTTCTTGAAATCTCCATAGCCTCTACATCAATGGATTGCACACAACGTTTTATAACCTCGACATCAATGAATCACAAACACAAAATAAAATAATTAATAATATTACCTAAACTAAACAGTCTTTTATATCTGACAGTTATACTTGATTTTTTTTACCTGTACTTAGCTTTGGACATGTTTAGGATGATTTTGTGTTGTGGTCAATGGTTTCGAAATTTGTTTAAGTTTGTGGTCAGAATGAAGCTGTGATAACGTTGGAGCTGGAGCAGGAAAATTATTTCTCGAAACTAAAGTAATTGATTACAGTTATCTAAGAGTGACACTACAATATCAGACCTAGTTTGAGCAGTTTGAGTATCACTATGGGTTTTGTATGACATGCTGTTAGTGATTTTTTATTTTTGCAAGGCTTAGTTTGTTTGGATTTTATAACTTAGTCGGTATTGTGCTATTATTACTGTTAGAATTGTAAACAATTATCGGAGGAGTATGTTATTGGTTAATCTACTACCTTGTGACGTCACGTCGTAGGTAAAAGGTTAGCACATTTTTATCTGTCAACTGTCTGTGAAGATAACTATTAAGAATTTTTATTAAGAATACACCATCTCTTGGTAAATGCTGATTTGATTTCTTATCTTGAGTAAAATGTCGCTTTTCGGTATTTCGCGTTATATATCTTGTCAATGTAGCCTATTAGTTTTTCAGAAAATATCTGAAAGTTAGTGAACGTGACGTTGTTTTGATCGCCTGTAATTTATCTTTCAAACTAGTGCACTTCCGATTGAGCGTGCTCAACGATGTTGCCCAAAAACACGGGAAAGTATGGAACACGTTCTGTGCTATAAATATATTTTTAAAAACTACAAATTCTTCATTAAAATGTTTTAAGAAATCAAATAAATAATTATATTTACAATAGATATTTTTAAGTTGATTCATAATTCACTATATTGTAATGTTGCGTCAGCGAAGTCACATGACTAGTGTTACGCCACGTTTCTAGAACTATCCTGTACCTTGGCGAATGCTCTAGCATTTACTAGATATAGGGTAATCTGGTATATAAAAGAGGATGACAACGTGACAGGAGAATAATGTAATGTGTGTGTAAACAGTGAGTAATTGATCTGCAGTCAGAGAGTATTATTGAG